ATAGCTTGTTGAACCCCAAGGACACAATAAATTATTTTGGTAACCATGTAGTTCTTTAACGTTAACTAATTAAAAGTAAAACCAAGCAATTTTATAATTTCTGTAATTAAGTAGGAGGTTCAAGTAACGACCACCAGCTGTACAAGACTCTGTTCATAAGTCAAATTATTTAAAATAAAGTGAATCCTGAGGCTAATTATTTTGTTGTTGTTTTTTCTCCCCGCGAATATTCATAATCCAATTTGCTGCATGAGTGATGGTCGTTTCCTACGTCAGGCGTAGTCAATCGATACACCGATAATCGATTAGCCGGAGCGAGGCTCTCGGCCAGTGCGAACGAGCGAAAAAAGGTGAGACTATTTTGGAGCCTGGAACGGGCTAATAATCGATAAAATTCGATTATAATTGATTTCTGATACCAATCGGTAGAAATCGATGACAAAAAAAGTTGTGTCAACACGCTGGCGTTTACCACTCCCTTGTGCCCATCCAACAGCGTGTTCACAGATCAGTTTAATTTTTAGATCGATTTTCCCACGAATTTTGAGTATCAAGCAGGCCTTACAAATCAGACAGCAAAAACCGGAGACTAGAAGATAGTATTTCTGATGTTTTGATAGCATTTACTTCTTTTTGTTTTATCGTACTGCGCACGCATACGGAACCGTACTTCCATTTTTGCGGGAAAAAGTGCTCAAAGCAATGCTCAAAACCGATGCCTAACGAAGCAACCTCGCCTCGCGAGGTTACAAATTTGTCACACATTGATCGCACAGCGAGGCAGAAGCTCAAGTTACGAATACTTTCTATTTAGTTTATACTAAAACAGTGGATAGTGTTTTTCGCGCGCTCTGATTGGCTACTCAATCAGTGAATATCCAATCACGGTTAGTAAAATCCAACTAGTGCTCTATTATCAATGCTGCGTTGTGATTAGTTGAGCTACTACTAGGCTATATGTGATAGCCCACTAGTAGCGAAAAGCGCCGGCTTTGAAAACCAAAACAGTGGCGGCTGAATCGCATTTTGCTAGCTAAAGTTGTTCTGTCTCGATATTTTGACCAACTAGGATTTTACCAAAACAATTATTTCTCTCGCCCTCATGGCCTCTGTGTCAACAGCCCATTCGGCCTCCGGCCCCATGGGCTATTGACTCAGAGCCCTGCATTCGGGCTCGACGAATAATAGGCCATTTGCACGATGGCGTCATCTTACTACTACGACCAGAATTCTTTTGGATTTTCTTTTCACATTTAAATTTGGTAGCCCCAGGAAGGTTTAATAAACAAAAGCCCTAATTTGCACAAGAAAGTAAAACCCTGAAGGATCCTGGTCATAATAGTAAAATGACGCCATCGCAAATGGCCTATTGATAACTAATGTTCTTCGGCATATTCGTTTGCGGTCCTTTGCAGTCCTTTGTGGTTAATGTTTGTACTTTAATAATTTTTGAGTCGTAGATCTTTTATAGATCCGATATGCTGTAATTCCTGAATGGTTCTGTCCATGTTTTTGAGGTTGGTTTTGGCCAATTCTTTATTTCTCTGTGAGACATCAACTTGGCACTTGGACTCTTGCCCCTCAGAAGACACGTGGTATGGCGTGATTCTGTGGGTGTTGAGAGTTCTGGGTCAGGGCTTAAAGGAACAGTATCCCGTTACTGCGCATGCACCAAACTTTGATTTTTGGACAGGATGTCCCGAAATCAAAAGATGCGAGGAGAGTAAGAGAACCTTGAAAAATCCGTTTGCATCGCGCTTGGCCGAGTTCAATACTACACTAAAACTTCTCAGGATTACTGATCAATGATATTTTGTTCCTCTTAAGTTTCGATTTGGGCCAAATCTGGATTTTTTGGCGTTACTTTTATTGCCGTTGGCCGGAGGACCAAAAGATGCGAAGCTCTTTGATGTCGATTGAAGGCTTATTTCTTTTGCCAGCTTCCATACAAGCTCAGATAATTGTGAAAGGAATACGCGGAAATGAAACAGCAACAATAAAGACTGTAAGAAAGAAACCATTGAGACATTGATGTGACTGAGGAGATCTTGTGGAGGGGAGCTTCGTGAAGCAGAATGTTCTGCAACGACGCGTTAGTAAACTTTTAAATGAATCTCCCTACGGCCGACAAAATCAAACAAACAGGCGTACATGTTTAGAAAAACTAGTTCCATGAAATCATAATATAATTTTTTACTAACCTTTGCGATGATTCATAGCTTTGAGATTGCATTTTTATTTCTGTCTTTCCAACGTTTGAGGCTAGAACGCGAGCAAATCAGGCAGATATTACTGGACTTGACAATTGACCTCTGACACAAGTTTCACATTAGAAAAGCTGGTTTTAAAGCGAGCGGAAAGAGATTTTCGGGTCGCGAGGCGGCCCTGCTAGCGATAAAATCGCGATGAGTTTTCTTGCAACGAGCCAAATTTTAAATAAGACGAAAGATTTCTTCGAAAGTCTAAAATATTGCCTGAGAATATAGACAACAAATCTCCGTCGGCGGTGCGGTCCGGAAGGAAATCTTGTCGAGTAAATATGACAGTTCTATTGTCTTTTGAAGAAAAACAGATGACGCTCGCGCGTGCGCATTATCGGGATACTGTCCCTTTTTAAAGCTTTCTCTGGTTGTTACGCCATACTGACGAGCCCCAAAAAGGGCGAAACAGCTGTCTATGGCTACAATCCCGCTCTGTTTTGAGTTCTTTCGGTGTCGTGTTGATGTCCTGCAGAGTTAATTTTCACGTAGTACAATCAGCATTGCATTGCAGATTTTCCCTCTTTTCTTTCTGATCTCGTCGATGTGTTTGAACATGAACTGAACTTTGACTGAGCAAATCTTATTTTTGCCGCACAAGGTCTTATATTATTGAAGGTGATTCATGTCCTCGTAGTTATTTCCTGTGGTTGATGCTGCTGTCGATTTATGGATCGTGCTTTCAACTTTTCATTGGTCCTTTTGACCCGACCGTCGTCAGTCAGGAAACCAGTGTTAGCGTCGACAAATGTCGGCTGTTTTCGCAGGCTACAATATCGGCTTCAGCACTGCAGTTCTAGTTTTTAAAAAAGATGTCCTTGGTGCAGTCTTCAAACAATCCTTCATGCTGGGAATTTTTTTAAAGCAAATTAAAGACAGCTAAAAGATTCTATGGGGGCGTCATAGGTACAAGGATTTTTTTGGATTTCTTGGGGCTATAACTTTGATTCCTTTAAAGGCTTTTCACAGATTTGCATTAGTTGATCACGTGATCAACATTCTGTGAACACGAAAACAGTTCGCTTTTGAAACATTTTGTTAGCACGAGCTGAGAGAGCATATTAAAATTAGGTAAACTGGAAATTTTCAGCCTTATATCTCAAAAGGAGCGATTGCAACGACCGCCGAAATTTAGAAGGATAAAAAACAACTCTTGCCACCCAGTCACGCTTGAATGGTTTTCCATAAAAACCCTTCTAATTTTCGGAATGTTCAAACTGCCGTGAAATATTTCCTTAAGCACTACTTGGCTCAAATCTCCTTTTATTCACGACAGGCAATTTGAGCCCTCACGTGCGTAAAGGAAAATTTTAACGAAAATTTAAGCATTTCAAAATTTACAGGGATTTGTATGGAAAACCACTCAAGCGTGACCGGGTGGCAAGAGTAGTTTTCTTATACAAATCCTTCTAATTTTCGGCTGCCTTTGCAATCGCTTCTTTTGAGATATACAGCTGAAAATTTGCAGCTTACCTAATTTTAATAGGCCCTTTCAGTTCCTGCTAACAAAATGTTCCAAAAGCAAACTATTTTCTTGTAGGCCACTTGAGCAACAATAATTTATTCCAGGGATATTTTGGATTTTATAAACGCTTTTATGGTTACTATTCACGTGACTCTCTAGTGGCCAATCAAAAAATCAACACTCTAAAAAGTTTCTCCTTCATAAGCTAAGTATATTTAACCTAAAACTGTGATAGTTTGCAGACATTTAGAGCACATAAAATTGAAGAGCTTGTCCGATTTGAATTCTCAAATTTCATTTTTCTGAAGCCAAAACTGATGACAACACAAAATGGACCTAAAGAATTAAAAAGAATTATTTAAGAGAAACACAATAGTGAAGTCCCAACTCATTGTCCTCTATAGTTAAAGAGATATTGGCAACATTTCATGCATATTTCAAAGAGTAGTTTGGACAAATTTGTGGCTGATTTTTAGCACTTTATTTCCCATTATTTTACTCTCTGGCTCCGTTTTTCTCATCACAGAACCCGCAAAAACTTAGTGCCAGAGGACTGTTTAGAGAGTTGTCAAAATGATACAGAAGTGAAATTCTGTGCACCTACTTTGCTTATCTACTGAGACTGAAGTTTTGAAAATGGCAAACAAAATATCTCTGTGATAAATGCTTCGCTTGAACGCATGCCACTTTTTGACCTACCGACTTTTTAGAAAACGCCTGAGGCAAACATTGCAGTCATTAACACAGCTTATCTAGAGAATACATCCAATGTCGCCCAATGGAGGAAATATAGTATTTCAGTTGTCAATAATTCAGTCAGATGAAAAGTTTGGTCTGAGAACAAGATTTAATGCCAGTGTTGGGTACCAATATCCTGATATTAAAGATGGCCCTGTGATAGACTAGCACTCCGCATCTTGACAAATCTTGGCAGAATGGAAAATCTCAACAGGAATACTACTTATACAGACCAGCAGAGTGGGGATCCTGTGGCTCACAGTTTCTTTTCTCATTGTCTGGTACCTGGAATAACCTATTTCCATAGTTTACAATGGCTTCCAAAGATGGATACTTGGCAATACCCCTTAACGATGCATCTTCATCATACATGTTTGCAGTCTCTTCATCAACCATGTTAATTGCTGGATGATAATCATTTGTTTTTTACCAAAAAAACCCTCTGATTGCCATTAACAGTAAATTACTGTTAATGGCAATCAGAGGGTTTTTGAAGTCTAACGCAGATGTTTGTTGATATGTTGACCAGTATTATGTTATCAATAACATAACATGGCTTCGTGATGATTGTATACTGCACTAAGACAATCTGGATTTGTAAGTGGACTTTCTTTACCCAAGGCACAAATTTCAAAGGCCTGTCTCATTTGGAATGCAGCTCGCCTTGTAGGCATTCTACCAACTGCAGTACCTAGGCCAGGGCAAAGCACAGTGTTGATCTGATCCTCTAGGTTTTCCACTGTTCTGTTGTGATCTTTAACTGAAACATAGTAGGAACAGAAAAAAATATTAGACCATTTTCTAACATGAGATGCAGTGTTTCATCACCAGATGAAACACCAAGAAGAGAGTTGAAAATACGACGCGCAGCGGAGTATTTTTGACGAACTTCCAGGTGTTTCATCTGGTGATTAAATACTGTGTCGAATGTTTGATATTTCTTTTCAAACAAAATCATTTTTGAAGGAGAAATTAAGGATGCAAAAATGAGCAGTTTTTCATCTGATATCCAAACACTCATTAAACATTAATTTCCTTTGAATTTTCTTTATGAATTATTAATGAGTTCGAGAAGGTTAAATCTAATACCCATACACCTGTATCTCACTCTGTCCACTTGGTCAAGAGAGATCTGGGTATGAGATTTTAGGTTTACAAATGATTTCAACTGGTGTTGATTTTTGTTTTTCTCAGATTATGGCAGTATAACGCTAGAAAACCTGAACCAGATTGAAACCATTCTACCAATCTAGACTGTGATAGTCTTGCTGTCACTCTCAGTCGGGTGCACCATCCGAACTGTTCAAGGTATCACAAAAATGAAGAGTTGAAATGTAAGTATCTAATTCATTCATTTTTCTTACATTCACATAAGAGATCAAAAGATGCAAACTTCTGTGTTTTATTATGAAGCATTTCTTCCGGTCACTCAAATCAAGCTGAGAGCTAGAGTGGGCATTACAGTAAAAATGTATGGCATCACATGTCATGCGTGACACCACGATGCCTCAAACAGTTTGGATAGTCAGCATGTGGATTAACAAGGTCATGTGAAATTTGCTTCAAAATAAATACTGAATTTTACATGTACATGTGTATTATTTGATGCACTATACTGTTAGCCATGCAAACTATGCCAGATAATTTTATGCATTAATATGTGTAAAATAGCTGGAGTTTTACATAATATGCATGTTTATGCATGGTATCTAGTCAGTTAATATGATCGAGATTGGGTGAGTCTATGGCCTATAAAAACAATACACAAGAAATGTAGTAAGCTTTATACAATAACTGGCACTAAGCTCAATAAAAAAAAATTGGTAAGACTATAGAGTCACATAATATTGTTTCCTACTGTTAAGGCCTAAAAACTATTTAGAACAGTTACTATAAGTACTGAATCACATCTTGAGTTAATACTAACCAGCTCTTATGACAGCCCTGAATGCTAAGTAAGCATTCACGCTATGAATTACATCCATTGGAACTCTCATGGTTGGAGCGCTGATTAGGTATTTTATCAGTTTCCCTTCATTAAATTGTGGATCTTTGAAATTTTCATCACTGTTATCAGGAGGGAGTGTCTCTATGATTACCGCTTGACCCACTGGTATTTCACCACCATGGTCCACTCTTATCACTGCTTGTAGTCTGTGCTGCATTTGCCAACCAAAATGATTGATGTAAACCTACAGTATTATGAGAAAATTAATCAATAACATAAAATGAAGACAAGGTTAGAAAAAGGACATGTTTAAGCCAGCATTGATGGGGCTTGTCCTGAAGATATATTGCAGCTGTTCTGTAAATTCTGTGTTGAAGTCATTACCCAGGGGGAGGGGTACTCCCTCTGATGGCCTATACGGGGAGGCTCCTCCTGAAAGGGGTATCTTTTTTAGGCTTCAGGTATATGAAAAGGTATGTATTTCACTTGTTGAATTATATAAAAAGGTACGCAAATCTGTCATTTGGGTCTGTGAAAGGGCCCAAAAGGGCTAACAGATGAATTTTATGGCTTTATAAAGTCGAGAAAATGGTTTATTTTTGTGAATGATTCCTACTTAAAAGACAGTGCATTTACAACAGTTAAAAAGGATGTAAAGTTCTAAACAAGGTATGTGAAAGGGGTACCATTTGTCAATACAAGGTATACGAAAGGGGACAGTACCTTTTTCTTGAAAAATGGTATATAAAAGGGTAAGGGGTTGGACCTCGGGGCGGAGCCTCCCAGTATAAACATTTGTTGAATATGCCCCCCCCCCCGCCCCCTTTAGTGCCTTTACCCATATGAAAAATGCTTCTATAGGGTTATGAAGAAGATATAAAAAACATGCTATCAGGGTGCCCTAGCTGCACTAACTTTTGCATTAAAACTTGAAAAATGCGACCCCAATTTTTTCAAGTTTCAACCCATGTCTTATCCTTGCCATCAATGGCCAGCAACTGCAGATGACAGGAAACAGTTTCAATGCCCAAACATAGTTGGGAATAACAAAACTCAATAAAGAATTTTTGGAATTTAATAATTGATGTGAAGACATGTTTTAGCTTTCTATGGCAAATAGCAAGATATAGCCCCTAATAATAAAGGGACCAAAAAGGGCCAACTGTCAGATGCATTTTATGATTGTGAAAGAGACAAGAAAACTTCCTTATTTATATTAAAAAGCAGGTGCATTGTTTACAGCAGTTAAAAGGGATCATTTTTTGTTCCAAACTACAATCAAACCTCTCCACAATGGCCACCTTGGAGACAGAAGAAAGTGGCCTGATTGTGGAGAGGTGACTGTTAATGGAGTTTTGACTGTAGGTAGGTGAAAGGGGTTACCATTTTGTAAGTAGAGGATATAAAAAAGAGAGCTTGAAGGGGAGCCTCAGAAAAATTTGTCGAGTACTACCCCTCCTCCAGGACATTTCCCCACATTTTGTGACAATGGAGCAAGGTTTCTGCAAATTAATGTTCCTACCATGTCAATACCTCCATCCATGAAACCAAAACTGTTTGCTGGTGACACAATGGCATCCACTGCAGGGGCTCCTTCGAATATATCACCACAAGACACCTAATGTTAACATAAAGATAAACGTGTCATAAAAATGTTGCTCCTTAAATCAATTTATTTCCACAACTGATGTGATATTTCAACCCAGTTCTATTAATAATACTTATACAAGAACAACAAACTGAGTATACTTGACTTAACTGAAACTGATGTCCAGAAAATTTAAAGAAACTGAAAGAATTATAAAATAAAATTGAGTACTAATGTACCTGAAGCCTGTTTTGCATGTTTTCTCGATTTTATGCACACATTTTGTCATTGCTTTTCAAGAGAGAACTATGGAAGCTATTGACAGATGTGAATCGGACGTTTTCTTTTTATTTGGATAAAATTTAGGGGTAATGATTTTAATACTTCTATGATCATGTATGATCCTTCCTTTCATATTAGTAAACTATTTAGAACCTGTAGATAGCTTTATACACTGATTTAAATTTTATGGCACTTTTTTTGCCTGCGAACTATTCATAACAAAAATTTCACATTAAAAATGCTTAGGGTGGCAGGGGTGGATTCAGGAATTTTTGATTGGGGGGGGGGGGGGCCTTTTTATGTTAATTAATTTTTGTCATCTCGATATATTTTTTTATCTTTTTATTTTATTTTTTTGGTACTTTTTTGGCTGAGAAACTATTAAAAAAAAAAATTCAAAATAAAAAAGGTTGGGGGGGGGGGGGGGTGTTGAGGGATTTTTGGTTGGGGGGGGGGGGGGTCCAAACTTTGATTCAGAAAGGACTGTTGAACTTTTTTGTGGTAAATTACTTCTCCCCCACACCCCCTCCCAAAAGTCGCTGAGAGAGTAGAGACAACCACGTGTTTCTCAATCTGTGAGTGCCGCTTGCTGTTGGCTCTGGAAATACTGCTTTGCGAGCATAGGCGAACAGATCATAGGAGGGTACCCAAAAACAATAAAATTACAGTTTTGAATATCCCTGGAATTAAGATTAGAGTTAAAATGCAGTGCGCGTTTCATTAAAAAATCAGCCAGTAAGAGTTAAAAAGTGATATATGATCCTGTTGGTGGAAGAATTTCAGTCTCAAAGGTCTGATAGGGGGGTCCTCGCTTTGGATCCCGCCACTGAGTGACACTATTCAACTGTACGATCAATGGAAACTGCTGCAGTGAGGATTGAGGGCGGGGCATTTGTCCTCTTTTTTGGTCCCCACTGTGGAGCATTTGGCAGCTCAAGTATTCCAGCCCCCAGGAATTTGCCATCTAAGGAAAAAAAATGTATTTGACTGATGCATTATGCAGACGTTCTGCTATTTCTTCTTCGCAAAATGGGCAAAATTTTCTGCCTTTTCTGCAATCCTACTCCACCACAACAACCAAGCTATCACTCGACCTTGGACAGGTTTCATTATTTTACAACTGACTGTTTTATTGATCGTTAAGTAAACCAAGTAATTTCCCCTTGATCAAAAACATCATTTTGGATAAGGAATAGGGCTAGGAGGCACTTCTGTTCTGTATCTGTAGCACGGTGACCTGCACTCTGACCTGTGGAATATGACCTGTGAAAAATACCTGCCCTCAGCCTTCTCCCCGAGGCTTCTCAGTTGAACTCCATTTTTCTGGCAGTAGCCTGTACTATTGATGACATTTTTCCAGATATTGCAAACGTTTTCCAAATTTGGTCAACGCAAGCTGGTTATGAAGAATTTTAAGCCAATTAAAAATGAAATATTTGAATGAATAATATTAATCATCTTTTAGAATATGGCATTTTTTTTCAAAGAATGTAAACTTAAGTATACCTTAACAGTATTAGAGTACGGAGCAAATTCTTTTTCCCAAGCTTTGGTCATTGCTTGGTTGATGTCTCTCAGGTGAAAGATAACTTCAGAAACCTCCTTTGGTGGCATACTTGTGATCCAGTCAGGCCTGTGATCGCCTGTGATCGCCTGTAATCGTGTGATGGTTCACTGGTGAGCGACGTCATGTAACCGCTCATGATTTGAAGCCGCTTGTTCCCGAAGTGATAACTGGTGATTTGCTACACGACGGACCTAGTGAGTGCCGAGTGGCTCGTCGGAAAATGGCGACCTCCTTGATCGGTGCGAGAATCTTAAGTTGGACTGTTTCAAGATCCGTGGTACTGTTTTCGAAATTCATATTATTTAGCTGATTTTTCTTCTCTTAAAACCTAATTGAGTGGCTTGTGTTGTACTCAATTGTTCTTTTAGGGCTGGAATTTGACCAGAAAATCATTGTCTAGTTTCTCTGGATTACACGTGGGTATCCTTAAGCTAATTTAATACATGTGCTATCTACGTTGCTTTTAGAATCGTTTTAGCTTATTCGAGCTGCCCTCCGAGAACAAATATTCGCTGGATTTTAAATCATTTCATTCAGATTTCTTCAGGTTTTATCCACGGTAAATCACTGACATTAAAAGAGATTAAAAGGTTTCATAAGACTAGGCTGATGATGTCATAAGTTTTTTTGCGCCATCATTATGACGAGTAAAAATCTGCATTGGTAGTTTTGTCATTTCATTTTTGTATTGTGGGAAAAGTAGCTGTATTGTCCTCACGTAAGAGTTATTTCTTTTAAGTGAAAGAGGAGATTTATATAATGCTGTCGTCCTATTTGTCCAAAAAAGTGGGTGTGAAGGGGGTGTACATGTATGTTAAAATGTTTAGCCCACTCTAAATAAACTGACCAGAGAAATACAATATTTTAAGAACGCTTGTGTTATACCAGAGGATGACCAATTCAAGTTGAAATTCTTAAAGAATCTGTGAATTGCTCAATCAACAAGTTTAGATTTCCTCAACATTGTTATTAAAAAATTAAAACAGCATTTTTCATTTTTTAAAATTTGATTTGTAGGAAGTAGTAATTGTTAGTGCTGTGCGAACACCAATAGGATCATTTAGAAGTTCGCTATGCAGAGTAACTGCACCTAGGCTTGGAGCAATCGCTGTTAAGGCTGCAATTGAAAAAGCAGGTATTGTCATCTGTGTTGTGTACTATGAATTTGTGGTTAATTTGCCCAGAACAAGCTTTCCTTCAACTTTTTTTGTCCTGTGGACAGTCATCAGCACCATGCTGTGTGTCTACTTTGTCATGATGAAAAAACTAATAAATAACCTTAAGGTTTGAGGATGGTGTAAAGATTTTTTTGAAGAAAAAGGGAGTAGCTGTTAATTCTGACACAGATTTTATCATGAGTCCTTCAGATAACAAAGCAGTTAAGAGCCCCTCCAGTTTACTAGCATTTTCTTCTTACATTTATATAACTAAAATACCGTATTTATGATACCTCGAAATCAAAAACCCATCAAGCAGACAGTTCAATATGGTGACCAAATGTTTTCTTCTGGTTTCCATCTGATAACTGAACGAAAAAGTGAATTTCAAGCCCTGATGATTGGGTTTTTCCTTACAGCAAAATAACATTCCAGGCATATTTCTGGTACATATATACATGGTTCTTTGAGTTTCTTAGTATTATGACCTATTGAAATTGATAATTATGCTGAGTTGCCATGTAATAATCCAGGTATTACCCCAGAGGATGTACAGGAAGTATATATGGGAAATGTCATTACTGCTGGGGAAGGACAAGCTCCGACGAGACAGGTGGCACTTGGTGCAGGTACTGACAAGATTGAAAATAACTAATGTTTTAGTGAATTAGAAATTTATAGTGTACCGGTATTAATTCTTCAATTTACAAATACAAATCTCTAATTCAGGCCATACAGGCTATTATGATTGTAAATCATACCAATAGGCCTAGTACCATTTTTAGGACAGTTTACCCTTCATACACTGCACAGTGTAGTCTTTCTCCAGTGTATTACCGTAAAATTCCGAAAATAAGCCCCTCCATGTATAAGCCCCTCCAAATATAAGCCCCCAAAACTGGTAACGCAAAAAACCCTCCGTTAAATCGCCCCTCCAAATATAAGCCCCCCGGGGGCTTGTACTTGGAAAATTGCCCTAAAATACAATGTAAAACAAAGAAAAAATGGTAAATTTACTTCCAACTATAAGGCTAGCCTTATCTAGTTTGAAATGCAAATTTCCCTCTGTAGATAAGCCCCTCAAAAAGGGCCTTTGAAAAATATAAGCCCCAGGGCTTATTTTCGGAATTTTACGGTATGTTAGTGTTATTGAAGATCAATGAACATTGACCAATGCATATTCAGTTAAGTCTGAAGAAGACTCAATCATTCTAACTGACGCAGATGTACATTATGAAGCCAGTATTGCTGCAAGACCTGAGAGAGCAATGCATATTTTCCAGAATTGAAAATATTTTCATGCTGCATCTATTAATTTTTCTTTGTCATAACCAGGTTTACCCGTATCAACACCTTGTACAACAATCAACAAAGTCTGTGCATCTGGGATGAAGTCCATCATGATGGCCGCTCAAAGTCTTGCTTGTGGAAGTCAGGTCTGTTAATTAACTTAATTGCATTGTTGTTGCTGGCTTGGTCATACCCTGCAGCATAATGATCTTGTCCCATTAGTTATTGAGGGGAGAATAACAGGAAAGAGGCTACCTGGAAGACATCCATCAGCCGGAATGCTGGATAGAGTGAAGGATGGGTGCCCTAAGTTAGCGGTCAAGAGGTACACCTTAGATCAGGAACTATAAGGAAGGACCTGCCTATGGTAGAAACTAGAATACACACACACATATTGTTGTTGTTTACACTTTGACTTGACTATGTATATGTAACACATGTACATTATCATATTGTATGCTTTAACTTGCATTCGTTGAGTTCTGGTGACTTGTCTGTTATTTTGTCATCTGAAATTAAGAATGCAAAAGAAAAAGGCAAACAAAACATAACTTCATTGAAAGCTTGTTCTTTTAAAGAGCTTTCCTCTTGTTTATTGCCTTACATATAACCTTACTTACCGGTACTGTTTTGCTCTTGGTACAGTATATTACCTTAATGTGATATACTGTAAATGATATACCGGTATTCTATTTGGTTTTACAGTACAGTGCACCAAACAAAATGAGCAATTTTCACTTTATATTATGTTTAGGATGAAATGAAATGAATTATTGGCATCTATGCATATGTTTGTAATTTTTCCTGGATATGCTTCGAGGAATTAGTACCATCATAAATATTTTCCTGGCCCCAGTTGTTCAAAAGGTGGATAGCACTATCCACTGGATAGCGCAGTTGGTTTCCCTAATACTTATCCGGTGGATAGTGATTTATTCTGTGTATAGCACTATCCAACTTTTGAACAACTGGGGCCTGAAATATACCTCATCAAGCAAAACACAAGAACATGGATTATTTTACAGGTATAATCTTGATAGATTAGGGTATGTTGAAGTCACCAAAGAACACACTACAAACAAAATTTTTATGTTAAAATTAATGTTAAATTGCACATGATTTTCATGTTAAGTGTAGTACAATATAAACCCGAGAATGAATCTTAGTTTGTTGGAAATAATACTTTATCTTTTTTTGCCAGGAAGTGATGGTTGCAGGTGGCATGGAAAGTATGTCAAATGTACCTTTTATGGTTAGCAGAGATGCACCAGCATATGGTGGCCACAAAATGGAAGTAGGTACAGAATGATCAAGGAAAATTAAAGGCCCTTTTTGAGGGGCTTATTTTTGGAGGGGCTTATATTCGGAGGGGCTTATCTATGGAAGGATATTTGCGTTTCAAAATTGACTGGGCTAGCCTTATTGTTGGAAGTAAATTTACCGTTTTAGCTTTGTTTTACTTTGTATTTGAGGGCGATTTTCCAAGAACAAGCCCCCGGGGAGCTTATATTTGGAGGAGCGATTTAACAGAGGGTTTTTTGCGTCACCGGTTAGCGGGGCTTTTATTTGGAGGGGCTTATACATGGAGGGGCTTATTTTCGGAATTTTACCGTATTTTAACAGGTTACTTATACAGGTCATAGTACAAACAGTAATTAACCACTCCCAAGGGAGAAAGTCAAAATACAAACATCTTGATTGTTCCTGTTATGTAATGCACATGTATCTCAGAATCATATATATGTATTATTTATCAAAAATCATAATTTTTGTGAAAGGTGAGCTCCTCATGAAGATGAATAGAGCGTTTTACTTTTTTGTTTCTCCTTTAACATGCAACTTGATTTTCAAGTTACAAATCTGAAGCTGATGTTACAGTTGTAAGCATTTCAAGATCATCCTTTAAAGGAAAGGCATTAAAGTACAAAAAAAAATAATTGTTATCCCTCCGCAGGATGGAATTGTGAAAGATGGATTGTGGGATGTTTATAACCAAATTCATATGGTAAGTTATGGATTGTCATGTCTGCATTAGAACACAGTCAACTCCTTTTTTGCAGACAGTTTAGTGTCTTCGATTGAGAGAAAATCTGAAATTGCAGTATTACATTTAAATTAAGTGTGTGCATATTTTTTGATGGGGATTTGGCTGCAGCCCATCTTTTGGGGTTGTCCTTGAAGTTTATATGACAGAATTTTTTCATTGGCTTGGTAGAACTTACAGTCTGTTGTGATACAGACTGTAAGGATGGCAAAAAAATTTTTGACGTTGATTTTTTCCTGTGTTCTGATGAACCAAAAATGTGAAATTTCAATTCCAGTGGAGCAAAAAACTGAGCAACTGAAAACCTGAGACTGGGAATAGACTGTGACATTCTTTTAGGACATATTCTGTTTCACTGCAAGCAACAACGACTGGAAAATTTGCTTGCCACGAAACAGAATGTCCTAAAATGAAGTCAAAATCATTCCAGTGTCCTAAATTTGCATGGTTTTGTACCCAATAGAAAGAGTTATCAATTTTTCTTTTCATTCGTTAAAACATGGGAAAGAAAAATCAATAACTAAAAAAATTTGCTGTACTTATTAGGCGCCCGTTTCTGGAAAGTCCCGATAACTTTTCGGGCCCGAAGAGCTCTTTCATGTTTGCCGTGTTTGCATTCAAGATCAAAGTTTCAATAATTTTGAAAATAATACAATGAAACTATCAGTTAACAAAGCAAAATTGACCGGTTTATGAGCTACGAATTGTGCTACCATTCAAAAGGTTTTGATTTAAAAATTTGCCTTTGAACCCGAAAAGTTACCAGTCCTTTCGAGAAACCGGCCCCAGGACTCTGTAGATTCTACATGTACAGTGTATCAAGGCAATGAAAAAATTCTGTCACATACACTTCAATAACAAGGTACAGCTGTATCTGCAAGGCAAGTGTTGACTGTGATTATATTATTACTATTGTTATTGTGATAATACTTTATGTTATCAGCTGGCTCTGTACCATAATCTTTGATATTTTATAACTTAAGTTGTACAGTGAATTATTTAAAAATTAATTTTGATCTCTCAATTATGTATGTGTTTATAAATAATGTTATGTTTTACAATTTTTTTCTCATGGATATGGTTTGTATTCAGGGTAACTGTGCAGAAAATACAGCAGCAAAGCTTGAAATTAGCCGCGAAGACCAAGATGAATTTGCTATTAGTTCTTATAAAAAGACAGCAGCAGCATGGCAGGTGAGCTGTTGCAAGCCCATTTTCAATTTTGATGTATTGCGAACACCCACACTCTAATAAGTGCCCTCCCCCAATTAAGCACCTGCCTCCCGGGGCCAAAATATCGAACAAGCGCCCCTCTCAAGTGTACCCCCCTCCCCCTCCCTTCAATTTATTAAGTTGTAGGTATGTACAGCTGTACAAGGAAAGCCTGTTTCTATACTGCCCCTTAATTCATAATTTTTTCAGCTTCAACTTCAACATTTTTATTTTACATGTATACTGACACATCTGTGAGTAAAGATTACTGTATAGTGAGACTATGGTATGCTTGATCACCAACAGGAGCAAAACTTAACTAAGTGTCTCCCTCAATTTACCACTTTCCTTCCAACAAGCAACCCTCCTTTTAGCCAAAATTTTAGCTAAGTGCTCGGGTACTTATTCGAGGAAGTACAGTACACCTTATGTTGCTGTAAGAAGTTATTTATAATAGATCATGACTTGCTCCTCATAAAAAAGTAATAGATTATTGAGTTCAGTGTGAGAAAAGAGAAAACTGAACAGTATAATCAAGAGTGTTGGTGACATGTACATCTAAGAGTGACTGAACAAGAGGAGTTTAGCTGACTCAAGTTTTTCAAGATAGTTTTCTAATTCTAGACTTACGAAGTGTGAATATATGAATAATAGATCTGGAGCCTTTTGGTTGGTTTTCTAATGGATCCAAACATTTTTATCATAGTAATAAGTTGTTTTATTCACTCTTTAAGGAAGGCAAGTTCAGCAATGAAATTATTCCTGTTTCAGTCCCGCAGAGAAAAGGTTTGTACAGAGGCTTTTTTTCCCTCAAGTACATTATGGGTTGCAATAACAATATAATGGTAGCTTTGTTACCCTGATCAATCACAATAATATATTAACCCTTCTAAACCCCAATATCAACATACAAATACTTCGGGCTGATCTCCAAACATTTCCTCAACGATTAGTTGAGAGAATCTGATGAAAGATCAAAGCATTTTTCTGCATTGGTCATTTGAAAATTTCTCATAACTTTTTCTCTAAATGATCAATAAGTGTTTTTAGGAGAAAATTGATGTTGGTCACTCTTGGGACTTGCCCCCTGTATTAGATAACCCAAGACAGTCTATTAGACTCTGGATTCCATACTGTGGATTTCCGGTTCTGGGACTGTACTGGATTCTGTATCCCTTATCAGTGGAACTTGGATTCTCAATTCCAATAATTAGCAGGATTCCAAATTTTTTAAGCTGTATTCCGGATTCCACAAGAAAAATTTTTTTTACTGCATTCCAAAAACCGGATTACCTTACTTGGGGCAATCAACTGCTTATGGGTTCAAATCCAGTTGAAGTCCTGAATTTTTGAATTTTTTCCTGAACATTCAGGCGGGCATGGCGAAACGAAAAGAGAGCCCAATTTCAGCGGCAGCCATTAGAGAGAATGTATGAGAACCGCTCAAATTGGGCCTGATCTCAGGTTATAAAGACACTAACACTGACTAATCCTCTCTAAGGTCAGCCTGATGTTATTTTCAGTGAAGATGAAGAATACAAGAAAGTCTCATTTGATAAATTTGCAAAGCTGAAACCTGTCTTTCAGAAAGAAAATGGTATGATCCATTCCATATTATTAGCAGACTTTAGCCTGCACAATGTTACTTTGTTTAATTTAATTTCTTAACTCTTGAATCAATATATAAATTTGCTGAAATACAAAAGAATTCTCATAGCACCACAAAAATTTAAGTTAGAAGGTATTACTCACTAAGTCCTCATGTTGCCATTCACAATGCAGCTTGCGTAGGCAGCAAATACAAGCACTTCTCATTGCTCCTTTTCCTCTCGTGAATTTTCCCCAGTTACAAGGAACAATTAGAGGCAGCTGTATTTACAGGCTACAGAATAAGATTGTATGTCACTTAAAAGTGAGGCAATCAAATTACATTTTCCTCAGTTTCTCAGGAAAAATGATAGTTAATACTACGAGGGGGTGTAGTGACTTTTCCTTTCTTGTCTGTACTTTCCTGTTTATTTAGGAGATAGATTGGTTCTAGATTAAGAATTGTAAAATTGGGCCCAGTTGTTTGAAGACTGATTAGCACTAACCTGGGGTTAAAGTTTAATGCGAGTTTGTTTTTCTTTTGTTCAAAAACAATTTCCCAGATAATTATTTTTATCAAATTGTAGTCAAAAAGGATAAACTGAATCTGTATTTTAAGGTTTCATATGTTAATTCAATTATAGTGCATTCCTTGTGTACAGTTGGCTATAGATCTCCACGAGTCATCTGATAGGGGGAATGCTACATAATTATAATGAAGAGATGTCCATACAGAAACGCCTTAAAGCTATGCTGTTTCTGTATACAGACCTTTTCAAACATTTAAGTTTTTAGTTTCTTCAATAATTTTGGGAAATACTAAGGCTAACTGTATTGGTTTCGTGACGTAATGTTAGGATCTGTGACCGCAGCCCATGATGCACCTGCCTACACTCATGTATTATGTGTGAGTCTCACGCCTGCGGACTAAACACATTGATCTCACGCATCAAGGACAATTTCTCACACCTGACTCACAAATCCACACAAATTGTTCTTAAACGCATGATAAATTTTAAAATAGCGAAAAATCGTTGTCATTGTCATAACATCTTTGGACATTTTTGGCAGTGTTCAGAAGTCTTCGGAAAACCATCAGAAAGCTTCGGAAGTCGCTGGGATGTTTTCGGAAATCCTGGTCATGAGAAGGCGAGGATCTCACGCATTTGACTCTGTAAAAGTGGGCAGGTAACCATGGCAGTAGACTGAATGACGTGGTTGGTTGTGTGATGCGTGACATGTTTAATATTATTCAGGAACTGTCACTGCTAGCAATCTCAGTTGACTGACTGATGAGGCTGCAGCTCTAGTGTAACAAGACAGGCTGCAGGCATACATGTAACTGCTTAAGTAACTAAGCTTGTTAATAATTGGTTGTGTGACATGTGACATGATAATATTCTTCAGGAACCGTCACTGCCGCCAATGCCAGTACACTAAACGATGGGGCCGCTGCCCTAGTGCTTATGACTAGACAAGCTGCTGACAGATTAGGAGTGAAGCCACTAGCCTCCATAATAGGTAAATACAAAAGAAGTTGTAAGTGAAAAATAATTGTGATTACCAGTATTCAGTACAAAATAATGATTGTTGTTGTCATTTACTCACAGAAAAACTCAAAAAGCCACACAAATTAAACTAGACCACAGATGTGAACAAAAGCTTTTTGAATTTGAAATGTTTCACTGGTTGTTTGAGGTTTTTAAAAGTTGCAGATACAGTGTAGCTCACCCATTCAAATACTGTACTCACTCATCAGCTTGAGTTTATCTTCCTCAGGTTTTGCTGATGCTTCTGTTGCACCGATTGATTTTCCCATCGCTCCAGCAGCCGCTGTGCCAAAGGTACTCTACTTTAATCAAATTTTTTGGACTGCTTGTCAGGGTGGCCGAGTGGTCAGCAGGTTGGACTTGCAATCCGGCACTGGGGCAGTCCTTGATTCGAGTCCCACTCTGGCCACTTCTAGATTTGTTCTCAGTAATCCCGAGCTCAAAACCTCGGCCACTCTTGTGAATGGTCAATTTGTTACCTCCTGCAAGTTGGGGCTTTAATCCTGTTATGTTCTATGTGGAATTTCAATATTTGTTTCTAATTATTTGAGTGGAGTGCTAAAGACTAACTGCTAAGCTAAATGCACTTTCACCTATAAACAAACACGCAATCGCCGCACTATATACCGATAGAAGACCCAATCCACTTCCAAATTTCTCATTGATAATCGGAACTCAACTCGGAAATGGCCTACGGTATTAAAGAAAGTTCTTGGCCAGTTCAGTGCAAAGGCAGTACCTTCATTACTCACTTATTTTAAGACCCTGAGTATTGGTCCAGCCCCGAGAATCGAACCCGCGATCTCCCGCTCTGCAGCTAAGCGCTTTGCCGACTGAGGTAATCCAGCTGCAGGATTAGCTCAGTCGGTAGAGCGGCTGCAAGTAGTATGCGAGCAACCTCTCCCCCCTCAGTGGCTACAAGTGTGGAGGGCATGTTCCCAGGCTTTTCTGAATGGGACATTTTCAGTTTTTTTTAAGGCGTCACAAAAAAATCCTGTTGTAATCTGAGTGACCCCATTTTAATCGTTTTTGCTTTTGCTGTCTTTTTAGTTATTACAGCAGACTGGGTTGAAGAAAGAAGATATTCACATGTGGGAAATAAACGAAGCTTTCAGTGCTGTTGTTCTGGCCAACATCAAGGTTTGACTGTTGTATTATTTTTTGGGTTAACACTTGGTTTGCATAACACAAGCACAGGCAATTATGGATGCTTGTAAAGGCGATGTTACACGACACGTTCCGATTTGAGCCTAGCATTCTTGTGACATTTCCTTTGAACTTTTTAATGCTATGTTCTGCGGTTAACATGGTTAATTTACCTCAGAAAGAAGCGGTCGCAGGCGCAGGTTTATTTTCCCCGAGATAAAAAACTTTATCCCATTGGAAAAAAGCTACGTTTTCCCGCAACTATTCATTTATCAGACCAATTTTATCCCGCGAGTCTCGCTGTATATTTGTGGGTAGCCGTAAAAAGTGCCGAAAGTTTCGGGAAAAACCTGCTAGCCGGCGAAATCGTTTTTGCGCGTGTTAGAGTGCCGCCATTCTCGTGACTTTGCCGCGAAAAGCAAGCGCCGAAGCGCGCGAGAAAATTCAAAGCCTCTCTTTCCCATTCTCCACACGGCTTCGGAGCTCCTCGGCCAAAACTTTGCTCGCGCTGCCTAACGATCTCACCGGCTACGCAGGCTATTTCGGGAACACGAATGGTGTTACCTTATTATAGGAAATTAACGCTCCGTGAAATTAACGCGAATCGTTAAAATTCACGTTAATTTTGTTGAGCGTTAATTTCCGCGACGTTAATTAAGTGCAGCGTTAATTTCCGCGCTCTTAATTTCCAGTATTTTAACCCCAATTTTGGAACCTGTCCAGACATTCTTGACACCTAAAAAACATTAACTACAAGCTTGCTTTCTTTCCATTTACCCTTTATTTTTCATCTTTCACAAAAGCTAAGGCGAAGGTTTACAATATTTCGAGTTCATCTTCATCGTTGTCGCTGTCAGAAGTGATGTCAATATCTTATCTTTGATTTCGGCCAAGATATGAAATTCTACCTCCTCTTTCGCGTCAATTTTCTTTATTCGAAAGGCGTTTTCCATTAAATTCGCGTTAATTTAAGTCGCGTTAATTTCCAATACCTTAATTTCATGGAGCGTTAATTTCCTATAATAAGGTATGAAGTTTCAAAGCCGCTGTATTCGTACATCAACCTCTAAATTTTGGCAAGTCGGTAAAAATCCTAAAATAGATGTGACATAAACTATTAAAACAAATCTTAGCCATATAATATCTGCAAGAGAGAATAGCTCATTTTCTTTTGTATCTGTCTGTAGTAGTAAAAACCCATTAGAAATAATTGGCTTATTTGGATTTCAAATGATTAATTTAAGATGCTGTTTCGAATTCTTTGAGAGGAAATTCCATTCGTTGAATTTTCTTGGGAAAACGAAAGCTTAAAACTTCTCAATTCGCTGGTTTCCTTGAGTTCTTCTTTCACGGTTTTTGTTTCGAGTCTCCCAGGATGCCGGTTCCCTAACTCAAACCCTTTAGTTGAAATTAAAACTCTCTCTTCTGTGGTTACAGCTCATGGAGTTAGATCCTGGCAAGGTCAATATACACGGCGGTGCTGTGTCAATTGGACATCCTATCGGGTGAGTTTGACTGCTTTCTCCCAAAGCTTACATCCCAGCTCTCTTTCTTTTTCCACTTGGGAAACAAGAGTGTCTTTGATAAACTACATCCAGATCACCTCTCTATGAAGTAGTTCGATTGGTCTTATTCTGAAATCTGAATACAATCTGATTATTCCGGACCAGCATTTTGTCGTATACAAATTTGATGCAACAATCGCGGAGGGGGAACTCCGGATTTTAAGTGACGGGGATGATCTAGGGATTTTTGGGGGGGTTGAAAATTTGGCAAGTATTCTCATGGGTGGCTTGATTTAAGTGGGGATTTTTGGGGTATTCGAAACAATCTGAAGATTCCTGGTAGTGTCTCCGTATCCAAGCCGCGTAGTTCTGCATCCCATCTAAGGCTCAAAAATTCGGCATGGAGTTTTTTTGGGGCAAATTTTTGGTCAAGAGAATTTCTAGGGTTTTGTTGGAAGTCCCAAGAAATTTTTTGGGGGGGTTTTGACTCTTGCCCCCATTCGATCATCCCCATCACTTGAAATCCGGAGTATTCCCCTGGGGCAACAATCGACATTGTTGACACGGAAATATTGTTTTTAGTAGAAAATCAAGGGGGAAATGTAACGGGCGGAATTTGTCTTACCTGTGTCTTTGGTCATGCTGTATGCTCTCCCTTTATGTGATCTCTATATTATGTCTTTCGACTCTCCGAAAAAAACCCGTTAAGGTAACGCTGACTGAGAAATTCACTTGCCGCCCGTGTGAAAACATGGTGGAGTTTCTTCTCTGATTCTAGCGGCGAGGAGCGAGGCGGAGAGACGACTGCGTCCCCCAGAGGTATTAAACTGACCGCCTGTTTTATTTTCAGGATGTCTGGTTCGCGGTTAATTGCCCACATGACACACAACCTGCCTGAGGGAAGCCTGGGGCTAGCAAGCATCTGCAATGGTGGCGGAGGAGCGTCCGCCATGGTCATTAAGAGACTATGACGTCACAACCCCGTGTATATTTATTGACAAGTTGCGCATGCGAATTTTAAGCTTAAAAGAAAAGGCAACTTAAAACACCATTTCCTAGACTCAGGGTCTGTTAGGGGGTCCTGATCCCGCCGTCCCGTTCCTTTTTAAGAGTCAACCCGCATCACGAACATCCGTCATCTCTATCCTGAATACCATTTTCTTTCGAAATACGGCATTTTTTGATTGAGTGGGATGTATATAAAAAAAAATATTCAGGGCACGACTTCCAGTGACGAGGACTTGAAATAGTCGCGTCTCTCGAATAATCGCCCCCTTTTTTTGTGCGGAAAAAATAATAATCGCCCCCGGCTGTCGGCGGTGCACGGAAAATTGTCAGAATTTGGAGAAATAGAACGGACTGGTAAAACCAGTTCAAGCACAGAAAAAGGAAGTCCAATAAAGGTCTATAAAACCCAATTGCACCTCATTTTTTTATTTATTAGAAGTTACTCAATATACCCGCAGTTTGTGTTTACCTCACTTTAATTCACTCGCCTTTCTTTTTGTTCAGTTCAACACCCATTCTCTTTACTAACTTTGAAGTTGCCGCTGCTGGTTTCCCCTACAAAATCTTATAATATTTTTATGCAATTTTTTTTAGAACTTCAATGGTTTTCGTTTAGTACAGTAGCAATTAAAATCCAAGATGGTTTGCCGGCGAAGTCGTGCGATTTCGAAGTAGTAAGAATGAAGCCTTTTAACTGCACGACTAGTAAATTTTGGGAGGGTTATGTTGATAGTTAGACCCCGTTTACAAGGATCCGGACAAATCTTTGAACGGACAAAAACTTGCACGGATCCGCCTTTCGTTTACATGGGGCCCGAACAATTACTCAAATGTTCAAATATTTGTCCGGACCTGTATAAACCCGTAGAGGGACGAAAACGGATGTTTTCAAATACGATGATGCCATACGTCATTTAGTACAAGCATAGCGCATGCTCTGTGAGGAATGCTACCGTATTACCATTCTTTAGCGTTTTCTTATGGACGGGCGAATACGATTCGAATGGCTACATGTGGACGCATATATATTTTTTTATTTTATTATTTTTTTGTTTTGAAAACGGAGGAAAAAACGCTCAATTTTCAAAAATATCCGGATACGTGTTGCCGGGCCTTAGCGATATGAAACTCTACACATACTTGCTCCATTTCGCTCTATCAGGCGCCATTTTGAAAATGTGAGTATCGCAGGTAGTTATGGGTGTGTGGAACGCGTGGATTGCCGTAGTATCAATAGAAACAAGTGACTATCAAAATTTCTCGGATGCATAGATAACCAAATTTTCTTACCCATGGTGCCCTGCTGCGCGCGCTTTGAGAGGTCCGCTAAAAATGAGTTAAATTCATAGTTTAAATACAGTCCGACCTCTATTAAGCGGCCACCTATTAAACGGCCACCCTCCATTAAGCGGCCACTTTCCAAAGTCCCGATTTATTTGTCAGCTGCTGTATTTGATACCTCTATTTAACGGGCACCTCTATTAAGCGGCCGCGGCCACCTTTTCGCTGTCGCAAGTGTATTATTTATATAGTTTTTTTTACTTCCATTAAGCGGCCAGCAAATTATCTTTGCAAGCGAAATGGTGACAGATGATATAAGGTGATACTTTGCCCAGTTTAATGGGTACCAAGACCTTGCCCTAGCTGTAGGAAAGGCAAATGATGTGATCTCGTCATTACAACTCCGCGCCCCAAAACGGCAAACAGCATTGACGGATTATTTTAAATAAATCGTCCGTGAAGTATCTTGAGCTAAATTTTTTCACATACTACACTGTTGATGCAAAAAGCCTAAGAAACTTGTCAACGATGTTTTGCATATTTTCTGTACATTATCAACCCGAAGAAGAACTATGCATGGGCTGGAAATGCACTTGATGTTTTGTTCCAATGAATTTTGGATTTATCTTCATATATGTTCACTTTTTAAAAGTATTTTGCTATATAGAGTCAATAAAATCATGCTTACTGCGATTCCTATCCAATTTATATTGTGCCTCTATCAAGCGGCCACTTTACCAAGTCCCGAGGGTGGCCGCTTAATAGAGGTCGGACTGTAATTTTAATTGTTTCTTTCGGGTCTTAATTTCACACGATAAATTAAGTATTCAAGTAGATACATCATTTCTGTTTTGACTTTATGGAAAGTATTTGGATAATCTGAGCAGCATTCGGGTCCATTTTTATAAGGAAGAGGCAAGCTGTAGTTTGAGAGGAAGTCATTTGGGCGACCGGGTATCAATTGTGCTGCAATTCCAAACTGGAAAAAGGTTTCTCTCCCGCTTGAATCCCTCGTACTCACCGGCTTCACACCCTGAGCTCTCAGACATCTTGCAACCCATGTATCTTCACCACCACGCCTGGGGCAGCCACCCTCGTCCAAAGCTCTCTTGAATATTCTTAACGTTTCGCGACTGAAAACGTAGCCGGCCCCTCCAGTGTTGTAGCCACCATACGAAGTAAACATCCTTCCGATATAATGAGGATCCGAGGGATTTAACTTGGACAGAAAATAGCGGAGATTTTCCATGATCACGTAAGTGTCGTCATCTGCTTTCAAAAACCAATCAACATCATCAAGATGGTGTTGATAAATATATTCCAGCGATGCACGGGTTTTTGCATATAGATTATGGCGACCCTCTTTCACATTAAGCCCGATTACAGGGATGGTAACATCCTCTATGGAACTAAAAAACAAAAGCATATCACAGCGTTTTCCCCAAGTATCCTTCACGGATTTTGCTCTCTCAACGAGGTTGTTTGGAGAGGTTGGTATCCAGCATAAGATTCGCTGTCTTTTAATTTCATTTTGAGTGGACATCCTGTCAGCATCTTCTCTTTCCTGAGTATGAATAGTTAATGGTATACGGGCTTTTTCGAAGCGTTTATGCCAATACTGCATGTAATTATTATGTTCAAGCACGAACATTGTCACCATACCCAAAACTAGAATGCTGGTAAACTGCAGGGTAAAATTACGTAAACTCAGATCCAGTCGTACCATGTTCTTTCGCAGTTTGCTACGTGTGCTCTCTTTTCCTTCCCGCGCTGTCGGGTCTTCTCTCACGTGCCGCTCACAAGTGTGCGCAACGTTTACGATATCTCCCAAATAGATAGCTTGCTCGCAGGCTGGATTTCACTTTTCAGATAAACTTTGCAAACCCAAAGGATCTGGGAAAGAAACATGAACTAACTGAGCAAATGAAAGCAAATGCCGGAATTCTCTTTTTTTAGCTCACATAGTACGATCTCGAACCTTCACCAATAATTCGAAATAATTTTGACGAGAATTTTTTTGTTTTCTTTTACAAAAGTACTTCCAATCTTTGTTTTAAAAGCAAACACAATTTTCATCTTAACTGTAAATGCGAGTTTCTGTGCAGAAAACTTACAGAATGGTAATGAAAATTTGAAAACATTTTCTTAGGACTAAAATAAACTTGTTTACGGTGATTTCAGAAGCTCTCAGTAAATTTCAAAAATTTCCGGGGGAACATGCCCCCAGGATCTCCCTAGATAGGCAAACACCTTGGGCGCTCGCTGAGCTTGCGATAAGCGCGAGCAAGCCCCACCACTCCAAAAATCTGCTCCGCGCTCCCTGACTATTACTGTAATTAGAAAGTGCTGGCCAAGGTCCGTGTGGTTTTCGTCCATTTGATTTTTATTCCAAATTGAAAATTGAAAATTAAAAATTTATAATCTTGATTTTCAATGTTTGATTCCTGAAGAATTGAAAATCACAAATTTACAATCTCAATTGTCAATTTTGGTTTCTAAGAAAGATAAAATTGAAAAACAACTAACTGATCAAAAATTGAAAATTGAAAATGGTCAGTTGGTGGTTTTTATTTCTTGTTTTTAAGGAAAAGGAAAACTAAACGATGATCTTCAATTCTGAGATTTTTGCCTGGTACCGAAGTTAAAATTGTATTTTCAATTTCCTATTCCCTAAATTCAAGCTTATTAAAAACTCAAACTTGACAAAGCAATTTCATGCGTAAAGAAACTGCGGGAAACAGAATTAATGCTGGTGAAATCCAAAATGAAAATCGTTTTTTGATTTTCCTATTTATGAAAAACAAAAATTGCCAACCGACTAAAAATACCTGTGACGGGAGGGGAGGGTAAAAGCGGAAGTGGCGCAACTGCAAACAAGATGGCGGTCGTCTTGAAGTGAAGGAGTGTTCCATGTTGCGTGTCTTCGTCAAGCTGTCTTTAGCGGAAATGTTACGCCAACAGGAATCCAAAGCCTGCCTGTATCATGGCCGACATGTTTTCAAAGAATTAAGCTGAATGTTTTTTCACTGATAAGTATGCTTTTGTTGTAACCTTGCAGCATTACTCCACGCAGGGTAAAGCGTTTGAGATCGGGCAGTATAAAGGACAGACCGTGGACTGCGGACTTCGGACTGCGGACTGCGGACCACGGACAGCGGACTGGGTATATGTAAAACACGGACCAGGTATAAAATGTGGACTACGTACTATGTCTTAGTGTTATGATAGTTAGTGAACTTACGCAACAGGACGGGAGAAGAAAGAAGACGTCAAACCTTGTGTGATAAGAGTGACAATAATTTTGTTTGAAAAAACCTTCCGCCAAACATCACCTTCCTTTAAACAGGTCTTCCTGTAAAAGACCAAAAATCGTTTATGTGAAGTTAAGATCACGACAAAACACGCAATTAATAGCCCAAACTATAAACGCTCTGTTCACAAACGGGCATATTGCTCAAATGACTTCCTGTTGGCTCAGTTTTGGCCACAATCACCAAGAATACCAGCGTTTTACACGCAGGCCAAAATACATAAAACTATTCCTGCCGGCAGACCAATCGTCTTTGGTAGCGGTGGTCCCAAAAAAACGCTTTTCTAGTTTTGTAGACTCGCTTTTACCAGGCCAATCGCGCAAAAACAAGACCTTAACATCGAGGACACTGCGCACAAATGTGATATCATTGAAAACACGTCTCTTCCAGATGAAGCAATTTAAGCTACGTTAAACGTGTGTTCTCTCTGCACTAGCATTTCCCAGGAAGAGGGAATCAACATTGTCTGTCACCATTACGAAGAACATTATCAGTCAAAGTTACCTATCCTTACTTCATATTTGGCAGACGTAATGCGGGTGATCTTAACAGAAAACTAATTCAAATTCACCGAAAAACACTACGTACAGACTCACGGCATTACAATGGCCGCCAAAATGGCGGTTCCTTTCTTGATCATTTTCATGGATCACGTTGAGAAACAACTACTACATGCGAGCCCTTACAGCCATTTCTCCGGCTGGAAGAAATTTATTGATGACATAAACTCAGTGTGGACTCTCCCTGAGACCGAAATCAACAAATTTATTGATTTCGCGAACTCTTTCCACAAAACAATAAAATTTACACTGACGAACTGTCATCAAAACAGATTGTTTTCCTTGACCACTGACGTTTTTAAAGGACCAAGATTCATCCGATTCGAACACATTATTTAAGCCGACAGAAACGTTTTAATATGCGAATTTCTCCTCATTTTACCCCCTCATCGTTAAAAAGGGCTTCGTATATGGAAAAGCCTTGCATTTACTCGGAACGAACTCGGTTAAGGAATATAATTTCCGATAACTGGAGTTAAAGAAGAAAGAGTTTTTAACTCGCCTTACAGAATGAGGCTACCCTCACGACCTTGTGGAAACAATCCTAGCCAAACTCCTCTTCGAATCGCGCAAAATAAACCCAAAACAAAAGATTTTGCCATTTGTAACGACTTTCTACCCTGCAACTCCGAATCTCAAAAAGATTCAGTAACGAAACACTGGCACCTTATTACGGGCAAAAACACACTCGCGCTAATATATCCCCAAGCCCCCACTGGTTCTTATCGGAAGGAAAACTCTTTAAAAGATTTTCTTGTTAGAGCCAAAATTCCTTCACTCAACAACAACATTTTAAAGGAGTTATACATGGTTACATGGTTAGGGTCGAGTGACAATATTATCAGACTAAAAACGTAGCACGTAGTTCGCATTTTATACCTGGTCCGTATTTAATATATACCCAGTCCGCAGTCCGTGGTCCGTAGTCCGCAGTCCGCAGTCCACAGTTCACGCCGATCTGAAACGCTCTACCCGGCTGCGTTGCGTACGTATAATGCTGCAAGGTTACAACAAAAGAATACTTATCAGAGAAAAAAACATTCAGATCACTTCTTTGAAAACGTCTCGGCCATGATACAGGCAAGCTTTGGATTGCTGTTGGCGTGACATTTCCCCTAGAGACGGCTTGACGAAGACATGGAACACTCCTTCACTACAAGACGACCGCCATCTTGTCTGCAGTTGCGCCACTTCCGGTTTTACCCTCCCCCACCCGTCACAGTTATATTTGGTCTGTTTTCAATTTTTGTTTTTCTCGAATACGAAAATAAAAAAACGATTTTCATTTCGGATTTCATCACCATTGATACTGTTTCCCGAAGTTTCTTTACACATGAAATTGCTTTGTCAAGTTTGAGTTTTTAATAAGCTTGAATTTAGGGAATAGGAAATTGAAAATACAATTTTAACTTCGGTACCAGGCAAAAATCTCAGAATTGAAGATCATCGTTTAGTTTTCCTTTTCCTTAAAAACAAGAAATAAAAATCTCCAACTGACCATTTTCAATTTTCAATTTTTGATTTTCAAAACATTGAAAATTGTTTTCCAATTTTATCTTTCTTAGAAACCAAAATTGACAATTGAGATTGTAAATTTGTGATTTTCAATTCTTCAGGAATCAAACATTGAAAATCACGATTATAAATTTTTAATTTTCAATTTTCAATTTGGAAAAAAAATCAAATGGACGAAAACCACACGGACCCCTCTCTCTCTCGTTTGTTTTCCTCGAAACTTTCATAAAACAGATATAAAAGTGTTTGTTTTTTTCCGAAGAAATACATCTTGCTTTACTATAAGTTGATTTCAAATGCGTGTATTTTAGGGTCATTCATTTTTTCTGCAAGTTGAAAAATGAAAAATGAAAATCTGTGTCCAATTTTCTTTTTTTTTTTAAATTTAAAAATGAAAAATAAAAAGTATACAATTGATTTTCAATTTTCATTTTTCTCTAAACATAGAAAAATGAAAAATGAAAATCTGTGTTCAATTTTTATTTTTTTAGAAATTGAAAAATGAAAAATGACAAATGAAAATCTATGTTATATTTTTATTTTTTTCTGAACATAGAAAAATGAAAAAAGGAAACCTGTGTCAAATTTTAATTTTTCAGAAAAATGAAAAATGAAAATCTGTGGTCAATTTTCTTTTTTTTTTCTGGACTCATAACGGAAATGAAACTAACCCGGAAATAAAGATACAATAGATTACTGTGCAATTGCTGTCATCAGCTTCGATCTTGGTTGGGTCGAATGTTCCTGTTGCAATGCAGGAAGGTTACATTATTTTTTTCTCAGGAGAAGGATAACGAGGAGTAGAAAGACGAGTGAAAAAATGCCGCTAACAGCGGAGAGATTGGCTCAAATGTTTGGAGTAAATCATACCGCAGATTATTGTAATTGAGCTGATGTTAGTTTCCAAGTGTTTTTGCGGGGAATGCAAGTTCTAAGTGTCAAAAACACGCTTTCGTCTTCTGAGCCCAGCGTAAACTAAACACTAGACTTGAGATCCATAAAGCATTTCAGGATCGCTTGACCTGCCTTAATCGACATATGATAGTTTAGATTAGCTAGAATCTTTCGATTTTGTGAAATTTACTGATAATATAGGACTGCCGGCCATTTAGTGTTTTGAAGCGAAGCTATCTATTTCGGGGAGTGTCATCATTTGTACGATAAACCGATAATATTATTTGGCCTGTTTTGATGTCGTTGTTGTTTTTTTTAGATACAGGCTCGTATTTCCTTTTCAAAAAATGATCAAGGAGTTTCTTTATCCCCATTTAGAATTAGACACTAGGAATTCTAGACGCCAATTTGGCTTATTTAAAAGTTCATGGACGAAAAACGAGGCATTAATGTCTTTGCCTTTGCCCGGGTCAACATTCATTCAGGGTTTTTGTTTTTTCCTCTTTTAATAAAAATCATGAGAAACTTCCTTGCGGACCAAAATGTGTACACTGAGCCTTGAAACATAATAATGACCATCAGATGAATCAGTCTTTATGTTCCCAGTTTTTCTTATTACTATATATAGGTGATCCGTAAATTGAAGCTTTAACTCTTGATCTTAATTTTCATCTTTTTTGTATGTTTTTTTTTCTGAAGACTCCATTTTGACTAAGAAGAGTTTCATAACATCCCGATTGATACGTTTTCACTTTGTGCGGGATGCTGGATCGATCGATGTTTACGAAAGATGCTTACTTGCGGCTTGGTAGAAATCGTCCAGCCTGTCTATTATTTTTGTTCGAAACCAAATCTATTTTAGCTTAACTGGTTCGCCTTAATGTTCGTTTCAATGACATCTATAGATCAGTAACCACTGCTTGATAAAATAAGCAGATAAGAAACTAGAATGCTCAAGTCCACAAGCTTAACAAGAAATAAGAATCCGCTTTACCGTTAGATGTGTTATTTCAACAGAAGAATGGAAATTTTGAATGCAGTGGTATGGGGAAAACTGTGAATGTGGTTACAATTATTAACCTTGAATTATAAAAGGGCGCTATAAATTGTAAAAAAAAAATGCATAGCTTACCTCTCTCTAAGCCCTGTTGCTCGTTTTGTTTCTTCCCGTTTTTCAGTCAATTCGTAGTTTTAAGTTTCATTGTTTTGTTTTCTAGATAGGTCAAAACACTGAAACGTAAAACCACTTTGAAGTGATTTCAAATATGCCTTAAATCGACCGGAAAATCTCACAGGATGAGTTGCCCTATAGTCACGTGTCGCGGGTCGCCGGTGCGTGTTTTCTCTCCAGTACCGTATTTCCTCGAATAATAGCCGGGGGCGATTATTATTAATTTTTGGCGCACCGATAGGAGGCGGTTATTTAAGGATGCCGATAATTCGAGGGAGGGGATTATTTCAAATATTCCTCACTGGAAGTCGTGCCCTAAATACTTTGGTTTATTATCCCATTAAACTGAAAAATAATCACAGTAAATTAACTGAACATGGGCTTTTTAAGTGTTCCAAATTTGGTTTCTTGATTAATTTTCAATGTCAATATCCAAGAATAGAGGAAAAAGTGAAATACATAAACATTATCATAGAAAAAACTGTAACAAAACCCGTGCTTTTGTAAGTATTCAACTTTTAACTTGAGAGGGAGGGGATAAAAGAGAGAGAGAGGATGTGGCGAGAGGGGGGGGGGGAGGCGATTACTCGAGAGAGGCGATTATTGTAAATATTTTGGTCAAAGGGGGGCTATTATTCGAGGGAGGTGATCAATCAGAGGGACGGCTATTATTCGAGAAAATACGGATTTAAATTGCAGAAAAAAACCCATGAGTAAGAGCCTGTTAGGCTACAATTTATCAGTTAGGTCCGTTCTATACAATAACCTGTTTACCCTAAAATTTGAAACATTGATTCTTATTTTCTAAGATCTAAAAGAAAACGTTGTGTGCACTCATTAGGCAAATAAGATAAGTCAACATTTAGCATGCACTTTGGACTGGTGCGATGTAATGGACTGCAGACGGAAGATTTCATACAAGGAGTAACCTGAATACAGTGAAATCTGTATTAAGCGGACACCCTCTATTAAGCGGACAGTAGCCGAAGTCCTCAAATTTATTACCCTTATTTACTTGAAATGAAACCTTTATTAAGCGGACACCTCTATTAAGCGGACGCGGACACCTGAAAAGTACCTGAAATGGTCATTTCTATCATTGCCAACCTGTATTAAACGGACACTTTGTAATTAAATTCCACCACCCAACATGCCAGACACCGGAAATGCGAAAGATTACCACCCACAAATTTTAATATTTTTACATTAAAAAACGTGACTTGACGAACTTATTTGATTAGTTTCACAGTGCAGGGTTGTTTTCTATTTCGTTTTGTTTCTGTAGAGCTTGTTTCACTTATCTGAGTTCTTCAAATTTGAGTTGCAATCTATGTTTATGGTACTATCATCTTTAATAAAGAAATTAACGCAAACGTAAATCGTCATAGTCGCCGGGAGTATACTAAACGTTTCCACTTTTCATTTGAATGGCATTTGACACCTCATATGACGTTATCTATCGAAACCTGTATTAGGCGGACACCCTGTATTAAGCGGACACTACAGCATTCGCCAAGGGTGTCCGCTTAATACAGGTTTCACTGTACCCAGTAAATACTTCTTAGCTACAATATTTTTTTTTCTTTAAAAAATAAGAACCTATTAGAAAAAGGCTAAATTTGTGCTATTATAAATTGCCATTTAAGGACGGACCATTAATGTTTTGACGGGGAGGGGGGTTGAAAATTTTCACATGGAAACATTTTTTATATGCGGCTGCTGCTGCAAACAATTTTTTTCGTGTCTCCGTCTTCCTGCAAACACTTTCACTTTTTTTTACTTGCATTCAATTTGTTTCAGTGTTCAAAATTTTCCAACCTTCCCCTCCCCCCCCCCACCCGCCAAAAAATAGTGGTCCGTCCCTTACTAACCTGGGAATATGCAGGTTCTTACTCGCGGGTTTTTACTGTTTTATCTAAGTGTCATCAACTAAAGATTCGAAGTTATTAAACTTGATGAGTTCGGTTAGAACGTTCATTTAAAGGCTGAGAAGCATCGGGCCAAGAATTGAGCCCTGAGGGACCCCATGCATTATCGTAAGTGGTCCTGACAATGAAGTTGCAACACAAGTGGAGTTATGTCTGTTTTAAAGGTAAATCCCAAACCATAGAAGAACTTCGTTGGAATTAACTAAATTCAGTCTGTAATTTACAATAGAATGAATAGAATAGGCTGTGGAAGCCTTGCTTAAGTCAATATGGCCCATTGCCGTGATTTGCTATTTATCCATGGCCTTGACGATGTGATCGATGACTAGCAAGCTCGATGATTCCGTCGAGTGGTGTCTTTGATGACGAGGGCGGTGATTTTCTCGGTAAAGCAGCTATTTGTTTAATTGACCCAGGGCGATTCACTCAGCAATTTTCGAGAGCACACTGCAGAACAGAGACAGGCCGATTATTATTTGGTACTTTTGTGGTCCCCATTTTTAAGATGAGGGACCACTTCGCCTTTTTTTAACAGGCTTGCGGAAAGATTGAGCAAGTAAATTTGCAAGTGGTTGATTATATTCGTCATTATCAGGAGAATGTACTCAAGACAGTCCTTTATTACTGAGAAGACGCCTTGACGTCTTGTTAGAAGGTAAGGCCATGATTACTTTCCGTACTTCCCCAGACGAAACTGGATGGAATTCAAACAGGTCATTATCAGTATGTAGCACGTCGATGTTTGAGAAAAAAAGACAGACAAACAAAACAAACGAAAAAAGTAACAGTAACAACAACAACAAGAAGTTCAGCCAAGAGTCGAATCCGGGAGAATACTGGAATTCCTGGTACACTCCTAATAACTGCGCCAAGTCGTTAAAAGTGCTTCTAAACAAGAAATATAATATCTAAAGTATTCCGTGAAAATTCTGCCGGTAGCCATTATCTGTGCGTCTGTACTCAAATGACACTAAGCGCGCTCTACAATCAAAGTGTGCGATAATTACGAGTATCGCTTATATTCTACGTAGTTTGACAGCCCCGCACTTGCATATAATTTTCAGCATCAAAGAGTTAGTAAATGGTTCCTTTCACGCCAATACTTCTTTTGTCCGGCATACACTAAATGCGATCGTATTTAGAAAGTAGCGATTTCACCAGTCCTAAGGCCGAAAGGTGGGTAAGTCATGAGCACTGGTATTGTAGTAGCGAGCTTGCCTTTCTGCACATCTCTCAGCTTCTCTCTCATAGCTTGTGTTCAGGTTCCTTGGCTCCAGCAGATTGCCAGTTGTGGGAAGATCTAGAAGAGTCCTCCACCTCCTTTTCATGTGTCCCTGGACTGGACTGCTCCCAATGCCTTCTGATGGAATATTGCGCTCGGCAAGAAGCCCCAGGTAGAAATCGTCACCGCCTTTAGCAGTCTTGCGGAGGAGACGTTTGTATTGGCAGACTTGACAACAGCGTCCATTTTCCCATTAGCCTTACTATTGTAGGGTGATGTTGGTGTGTTTTCAATGTCCTAGGCCCTTTTGAAATTCTGAAATTCTGCCGCATCGAATTGTGAACCATTTTCGCTTACAAGTTGGCAGGGACTGCCGTGCCTTGCAAAATGAGCCTTTAGTTTCTTGATCACAGCTCCTACTTCTGTGCTTTGTGGTCTGTCCAGCTCCCAATAGCACGGCAGTAGTCCACTGTAACTAGGTAGTCTTTCTCGTCCAGTGTAAAGAGATCAACAGCCACTTTAATTTTTCTCCCAAGGTCTCTGCGGTACTTCGTGCCTCGTGAGGGTCTCTTTGCTATGGGAAATTTCAAAGAGTCTGCAGGGCTCACAAGTTGAGATCCAGTGTCTAGGTTCAGAGTTCATACTTGGCCAGTAGACACGCTACTTTGCCCTCCTGAGACAACCTTCCACACCAGCACGTGACGCAGATAGTTCTATCTTTATATCAGCCCTCAGTCCACAACGAGCCATGGCTGATCATGAGGTCGACTTTGCTGAAGACTTTTACTCTAGCGAGGTCTGGAAGGATATCCTTGAGCACTGGAAGCTTTTAGTGTTCCCGCTTTGAAGTTAGGTTTAGGGACCGTGGATCTATACAAATCCGTACACTTCCATCCTATTTGGTGTAATAGTAACTGCCATCTGATCCACCCAGTCAGTGGGTTCATCTACTTGGGCAAGGACTCCTGTGTCAGCTAACCTGTCAAGTTCGTCTTTAATTTTATCCCGTGGTTCAATGGGTAATCTTTTGGTGGGCAAAGAATTAGTTCTGCATCAGGCTTTAAGGTTAGTTGCACAGAGCAGGCAAAGCGCCAATTTCTTCACTGAACACACCAGGAAAAGTTTGTAGGGTATCGTGCTTGTCTTCAACCAACTCCATTGAGATATGTTTCATCTTCTCAGCTGGTTTGGGACTTAGTAGGGGGATGAGCTCTTCCTCGAGAAAACAACAAAGTTTACCATGTATTTCTGGGAGGTCTTGGGGTTCTGTAGGGAGAGTTTACAGGTTCCAAGTGCGTTAATTTTCTCCTTGTTCCACACCTCTAGAGAAATGTTAGATGGCTTAAGTTGGGTGTCACTGATGTGACTTTTGGGAATGATGCTAACAGTGGCTCCACAGTCTACTTGTCGTCTGACTGGGTTAGACCTGATATGCATTTCACCACAGAATGGTTTGTCTTTCTTTGAGGCGACACCATTAACAAAGGCGTTGAGAGTCTTCACAGAGGCCACATCCGAGTCCGAGTCGGAGCAATCAGAATCTTGATTTACTGAGCGTATTTTCCCTTTCATGGCACAAACTTCTGAACCGCTTCTGTGATTCATTTTCTGGCAAACATTTCACCTTTTACCCAACGCTGGGCATAGCTCTTTCTTCAGAACACTATGAGACTGTGAGCAGAACTTGCACTTCAGCTTTCGTAGCTCGGTGTTTTTTCCTTCAAACAAGGTTTCAGTTCGTTCGCCCCGTTTACGGTTCTTCCTCGAATTGGGAGACTAAAGTTTCCATCATATCGGGATCCTCACTCGCGCTGTATTGAAACGCGTTGTAAATGGCATATGATAAAATATGGACTTGACTGGACTGGTAAAACATGGACTGGATTGATAAAACATAGATTAATAAAACATGCATTAATAAAACATGGATTCATGAATAAGAAAGGGTTTTTTCCCTAGGTTTTATAGGATCTGAATATGACAAACATGACTTGCACCAGAAATCAACCTCAGCCAGTGCGTGCAACGATCAAAAACCCGATCATTGGCATGGATGTGTTACAGGACTTATCTCCTCGATTTTGAAGATATATGGAAAGTTAATGAAAGTTCGATAGATATCCGATCAATAGGCCTTTAAGGTCCTAGAACATTCTAAGTGTTTACCTTTAAAAATGAAACATGATGAATAACCAATTTACTAATAAGCTTTTCATTTAGAAAGATAAATATTAAGAGTGTGCTTTTCAGGAGTGAGACATCTTGTCTCTAAACTTGATGCCCCTCTGAACACATTTATCTAAAATGGACATAGTAGTAATTTAACTTAGGAAACTCATAAATTTTATGTTGACACTAGCTCTTAAGAGTAGGAAGCTTTTAGTTCTAATTTAATCTTTTTCGCCCCGCCAACTTTTCGCGTGCCTTTTACTTTCGCGTCTTCCCCACTATCTGAGAGCCTGGAACAGGCCACATGTATCAATATGCTATTCTCTTAAATTAGATAGAAAGGCGAAAACAAGAAACAGAACTACGAACCACAATTTCAGTCACAAGCACATGGTTGTTACGACAACGCTACATGCACATACGGAGAATCAGTGACGTAATAACATGTCACGCAACTTGTCACAGTCTTCATCACGGTTACGGTTAAAAAATTGCAAGTTAGACTAATAAGTTTTATAGATTTAACTTTTTCAAACTATTCCGATTGTTACTCTAAGCCTTCACTTTGACACGATAAATTAAGTATTCAAGTAGATACATCATTTCTGGATTGACTTTATGGAAAGTATTTGGATAATCTGAGCAGCATTCGGGTCCACTTTTATAGGGAAGAGGGTAGCTGTAGTTCGAGAGGAAGTCATGCGGTGGACGGCCGGGTATCAATTGTGGTGCAATTTTAAAATGAAAAAAGGTTTCTCTTCCGCTTGAATCCCTCGTACTCACGGGCTTCACACCCTGAGATCTCAGACAATTTGCTACAAATATATCTTCACCACCCTTCAGGTGGCAGCTACCCTCGTCCAGCGCTTTCTCGAATATTCTTAGCGTTTTGCGGCTGAAAACGTAGCCAGCACCTCCAGTGTTGTATCCGCCATAAGAAGTAAACATCCTTCCGATATAATGAGGATCCGAGGGATTTAGCTTGGATAGAAAATAGCGGAGATTTTCCATGATCACGTACGTGTCGTCATCTGCTTTCAAAAACCAATGAGCGTGGTTTATGTGGCGTTGATAAATATATCTGAGTGATGCGCGGGTTTTGTTGAACAGTCTCTTTCTTCCTTCCCCAACATTTAACCCGATTGCAGGAAAGCTGGCATCCGCTTTCGAACTGAAGAACAAAAGCATATCACAGCGTTTTCCCCATGTATCCTTCACTGATTTTGCTCTTGCTGCGAGGTTGGTTGGAGAGGTTGGTATCCAACATAAGATTCGAGGTCTTTCAATTTCCTTTAAGTTGAAACTATTTTGCTTAAGATGCTTGTCTACACTAGCATTGTATTTGCCACGTTTGTTTCCTATTTCGAGGCGTTTATGCCAATACTGCATGTAATTATTATGTTCCAAGAAGAACATTGTCACCATACCAAGAACTAGAATGCAGGCAAATTGAAAGATGAAATTAGGCAAACTTGAATCCAGTCGGACCATGTTTGGGAAGAATCTGTAGGGTGTAAACTCTCCTAGCTACCCTTAGATAGTTCAACTTCTCAGAAACTTTGTAATAAAAAAGGATCTTGAGAGAGAAACACAAGAAAGCAAATGAAAGCTTATTTTCTACTTACGCTGCGAATGGGGTCGTATTAAAAACTACATCGAGCATCCTTCTTCTTAAACTCATTAATATTCAGTAGGCATATTGTTCAATAGACTTTGCAAATTTAATCACCTGTAACGACCTTCATACGCGGTAAAACTGACAGCAGCAAACTGAGAAGTCGGAGGCGCGGGGAAGGGGGGGGGGGGGGGGGGGGTCTTTGAATTTAACTACATCTGGTACTCTTGTATTTAAACACAATAATAGTCTGTGCGATAAGTGTTTAAAAACATATGAAAAATAAAACACCGTGTACACCCGCGTATCCGGGAAAAGAAGAAAGAACCAAAAGGAGAAGGGGGGGGGGGGGGGGAGGGGGGGGGGGGGGGTGGCGGTCTTTGAATTCAGCCTCAGTGGAAATACAGTGGAATACTGATTACTAACAAAAATGAAATTTCTTATGAAACGGTCCTCCTAATTTGCAAATAAATGAAAAGTCAACAATTTAACAAATTATTTCTACCGAAGACAGAAAAAAATGCAGGAAAACATGTTCATCGTTGACAAAAAAACAAACAAACAACAACAACAACAGCAACAACCTGTCGACCCGTATCATAAAGTTTTCTAACCGAGAAATTAAAAGCACCAAACCGCGGTCCATATCAAGATACTACTAATACCATTTCCAGAAGGGATGGGCGAAATGAGTCACAAACAGCAAAATTTAATTCTTTACAGTATATCGTTTGCAGTTTCGCGAAATGCCCATCATGTCGCGTTACAGTTAGATTAAACGGCATGCTCTACTCGTGAATTTTGTTCCTCTCGAGCGACCGGTTAACTGTGGAAAATTCTTTCATCTGAATGGCGGTATTGCGAAAACAAGTAGACGTTTTAACTGTGTACTTCAGCTGTATGAGGCATTTGCATACTAACTATTTCTTCCCAACATTTGTTATTTTAGCTGCTTTCGTTTGTCATTATTTTCAATCAACACGTTCTACAAAGGAAAGAATGAATTATCGAAATGAGATACTCCGGGGACAATTTGAAAGCTGTTTAAAGCACTCACAGCACGTGTTTTATGGCCACTGGTTAAAAATTCGAGCTCGAAAACACCGCTTTTTGGTGTTTTAAACATTACAGAACCACGGTTGTTGACCAAATTTGGGTGATAATTGCCGATATCAATAATTGGTTTTCACATGACGTCATCAAAATTCAAACAGAAGAAACTATCGATTCTTCCGAAATTTTACTAGAACTAAATTAAAAACTAAATATATATACAAATTTTCACCCTGAAATTTCTTCGTTTCATGATCGATTCGCTTGAATTTTTTAAGCTTTTGCCCAACGCAGCATGTACGCGGCGGCCGGGTGAGCGGTCGTGTAGGTTAAAAAAGGACTTATTTTGGGGGATTTTAATTTTGCTATCTAAACAGTCATTGTAAAAGAAAAAATATTCCTTTTAATGTTTATACGTTCCTCGAGAAATAAGTTCATGCTTTCGTAGCAAAACTTGTTTTATTTTAATTTTCAAATTTTGCCATGCTATACAAAGAGAGATGGAGAGTTTACTTAGTAATATTTAAGCACTAGAAAACGTTTTCGGTGTTTGCATAGCGTGATATAAACACGAGAGGGGTTGGGAGAATTTTAGCAAACCCGAGACCAAGTCGAGGATTTGCATAACTGTCGAGAATTCTCCCAACCCCTCGAGTGTTTATGTCAGGCTATGCAAACACCGGAAAAAAGTTTTCTATTGCTTTTATAAAATAACTTTCCTGAGAAAAAAACGGAAAACTCTTTGTTATGGCACTGATTAAAAGAGAAATTCTTACCCGTCGCAAAGTCTTCAACACGAAGTCTTGCACGCGTAATCAGTTCTTGTTTTGCAAAAAGATGTTTTCCGAAATACGGATTTTTCTCGCTTAAAATGTCAGCTTAAGCGAAAAAAAAGTTGACACAGCTTGTTTGTAAAGATTTTTCCAAGTTTCAGCCGAGGAAGGAATGGGTAAATAAAGTAAACTTGTCGAGTTTTGATCACTAATGCACTTATCAATTGAAACATCTGCTTGAAACGAAGCTTTCTTCATTTCTTTGCCAACGTATCGCTCAAAAGCGAATAGGGACCACGTAACCGGCAATATTAGCAAAATGAACCAGATAACCGTGACACAGCACCTTTTATAATACGTAGAGGAACGTGTATCTGCATTGTTTGACAAGTTTTGAATAACAATAACAATTTCCAGTCAACGAACCATGATAGCTCAAGGCAAAATCGCAAAGGATTAATCTAAGTAAAGAAATGAAAGGAAAAACAATTAGGAAACTTACCTTTCAAAGCCAGAAAGCCAGATAATTTCAAAGCATGTACGGCCGAGCAATACATCAAAATACCAGTGATCACGTGAAGAAATTACCATGAGGAAACTAGGCACGAGTCAAATCCCCACCTCTCTAACCGACTACCATGAATATTGATGAATATGCTAAGCAAATCCTGAGAAATCCCCCCACCCCCACGGGCTAACCATGCCTTCAAATACCATAAAAATCCCCCACATTTCCCCACATAGGCCCGGGGTGGGGGGGGGGGGTTTCGGGTGTCAATTGATAAGTGCATAAAACTTTTTCAAATTCTGGCTTGCGTGATTAGCGGGCGAAAAGAAAAACATCTTACGTCACAACCATGTTTACATACTCTCATGCAAACACTCCTCTCAGCCAATCAGAGCGCGCGTACTATCTTAGTTTTTTTCTATAGAAGACTAAACGTCAGGCTCCAAGCATACAGAAATCGCCTTTGCACTTGTGAAGTGGAAATTCCGAAGTAGTGAGGGTTTCTTGCAAAACTTGAACAAAACAAAAACAAAATAAATTCGTACCTACATTGAAATAACGTTGAAATATAGCAATATCAAAATATCGAGCTGTTAGGAATAGGAATTTCATTGTCAATATTCAAGGAATAGTGGAAAAAGTGAAATGCATGAACACTATCTTAGAAAAAACTCTAACAAAAACCGTGATTTTGTAAGTATTCAACTTTTAACTTGACAGGGAGGGGACAAAAGAAAGAGAGGGGTTGGGTGGGGGGTCGATTATTCGAGAGAGGCGATTATTTTAAATATTTTGGTCAAAGGGGGACGATTATTCGGGGGATGCTATTATTCGAAGAATATATGGAATTTAATTACAGTAAAAACCCATGAGTAAGAACTTGTTAGAAAAAAAATTTGCTAGTTAGGTCCCCTCTATACAAGAACCTGTTTACCCTAAAATTTGAAACATTGATTCTTACTTTCTAAAATCTATAAGGAACGTTCTATACACTTAGGCAAATAAGATAAGTCAACATTCAATATGCTCTTTGGAGACATAGATGTCTTATCACTCCAACTGCGATCTTATGGTCTGCAGACAACAAGAAAAACTTTATCCTCTCTTGATACCAGTAAATACCTCTTACCTACAATATCTCTTTTTTCTTTAAAAAATGAGAACCCTTTTAAAATAGCCCAAATTTGTGCTATTACAAATTGCCATTTATGTAATAGAAAAGCCTGTTTAGGCGGCTAACATGGGAAAATGCAGGTTCTTATTTGCCGGTTTTTGCTGTTTTATCAACGTAAGATTCGAAAAAAGTTACTACACTTGATGACTTCGGTTGGATTGTTCACGTAAAGGCTGAAAAGTATCGGGCCAAGAATTGAGCCCTGAGGTACCCCATGTGTTATAGTAACTGGTTCTGAGAAGGTAAGGTAAATTCCAAACCACAGAACAGCTTCGTTGGAAGTAACCAAATTCTTTTATTTACAATATAGGGCTGAATAGAATAGGCTGTGTAAGTCTTGCTTAAGTCAATATGGACCTTTGCCACAATTTGCTTTTTATCCATGGCATTGACGATGTCATCGATGACTAGCAAGCTCAATAATTGCGTCGAGTGGTGTCTTTGATGACGCGTGAGCTCGCTTTCTGGTTAATTAGCAGCTATTTGTTTAATTGACCCAGGGCGATTCCCTCAGCTACTTTAGCTTTCATGAGCACAGTCTACAGAAGAGAGAGAGGCCGATTATAATTTGGCACTTTGTAGTCCCCCTCTTGGGGAGGGACCATTGCACTTCCAGGCTTGTGGAAATTTAAAAACTGAGCAAGTAAATGAGTGGTTGGTTGTGTTCGACATTATCAGGAGAATGTACTCAGGACAATCGATTATTACTGAGACGACGCCTTGGCGTCTTGTTAGGAGGTAAGGCCATGATCACTTTCCGTTCTTCCTTACAATCAGAAACTGGATGGTATTCAAACAGGTCCTTATCAGTATGTGGCACGTCGATGGTTGAGAAAAAAGAAACCAAACAAAACGAACGAAGAAAGCAACGGTAACAACAGCATCAAGAAGTTCAGAAGAGAGTCGAACCTGGCGGATTACTGGTATGCTTGGGAAACTCGTAACAACTGCGCCAAGAAGTTAGTGCTTTTGAACAAACAAAAACTATCATACCCAAAGTATTTCCGTGAAAATTCTGCTCGACGCAGTTTGTTCCTTATGGTAGGGAATTTAAGATCCAATGATGCGACGGCAATGAGAACGTAGCATAAAAAGTGAATTTGCGTCCTTTCAGTCTTTATCGTAATTATTTCTACTCACTTACTTTGTCAA